ACTTCTATAAGTCGAAAGGAGACTGCGACCATACCCGAGGCCACAACATCTTGGTCTTCACATCTTATTATACCTTCGCTTACCTAACATAAATATAGGAACTTTTCGCTAGAATCAATAGGAAAGCTAAGGACGAACTATCGAAAAAGGTGAAGATGTTTGTTTAGCCTGGAGTACAGTTAGGGCTCTAACTTCCCAATTGGCGCATAAATATTGCATAGATATATAAAATGTTCAGCCACACTAAAACACATGTCCACATTGCAAGCCCAACTTTTAGGTCATTGTGTCTGTTAAACGTATGTTCGGCGATAACCCCATCAAGTTATCTACAATCACATATATGAGAAAATTAGGGGCGAACTCTTTAAGATTACAATATTCAGTTTTAGGAGGTAAGAAGTAAGATTGCTGCTGGCCACCACTGTTAATGTTTGGTAAAATTTCACTCAAGAAGGCTTTCTCACTCTGACGATGTCTGCAACACTACATATGAATGTTGTGCACTGATTTATCTTGGCCAAAGGTCGGTAAGCCAACAACTTCTTCGTACAAATCAATGGTCACGTCTTCAATGCAATCCTTTGGTTTTGGATAAGGACAATTTACTAATTCCTTCCATCTACCTTTTTCTTCTAAATATAATGTTCAATACCTGAGGCCAATTGAAGCTATGCGAGGGATCATTTCTGTAACTAGATAGATTAAAACTGATTCATGTTGGTCACAGAACAGTGTACCGAGCACTTCTTCGCTCATTTAGCTGTTCGAAAGTGCAAGGGAAATTTCCTTTGGTTTCCATTTATATTAGCATGCTAATCTATTCAATTCGAATTCTTACATGGAATAATTAGTCCATTGACTCGTAGTCATTTAGGGATCCTTCGAACTCCAGGTCATACATTAATTAATTAAATTTCATGCTTTTGCAAAGACGATCATATTAAAATCGCTATTATTCGTATTACTTTATTTCTCGGAAAGATTAATCAGTATATTTACATAATAATACAGTACGAAGGTAAAGACCAAGATGTTGTTGCCTCTGTTTTGGTCACAGTCCCATTTCAGTGCATGAAAGTGTTTGACCTCGGTCCGAAGTTGGGAATTATGATTACTATAGCAGAGGACTTCGGACAAGGTGCGCCCAACTAGGTCACCCTGAAAACACAACCAAGTCTCGAGATTATATTTTTCCTATTGATAGCACTGGATCAGAAAGACGTGATTCGAACAACTGTATGAGACTCATTTTTTCATATTCAATTTAACAAATGCTTACTAAGCTCTTTGTTTATTTTTAATTCTCATCCCTCTGCCCATTTCCCAGCGCTACCCTGTTCGCGACAGTTCGCGCAAGGCTGGATCCCCACTCTTTAGCCTACATGATAGCCTCTGTCCTGTCGTAAGCACAACGCAAAACTTTGACTCCCTTTTGGTGTCCCCGGGGCATGTGAGTAGAATTCGACGGGACAATTATTATCTTACTGCAAGCAGCATGCTACGTAGTCACACTTCAGCACACCAAGCAGAGCTAATCCGTCTCGGATTAGATGCCTTTCTGCTAGCTGGTGATGTTTATCGACGTGATGCCATCGATCCCACTCATTACCCTGTTTTTCACCAGATGGAGGGTGTACGCTTATTCTCCAAGGAAGAGGTAGGCTTACTGTGTGGATTTCACTCAGCCTTATCCAGTATTTTTTCTTGATGGCTAAGCGTTCAGTAATTTCAAACGCTTAAAAAAAATTATTTTATATATTTGAAAAGCCAAAAAGTATCTATGTTGCCCTGCCTGAATTCGCTCGAGATCGCCAACGGAAATAAACGTCTGAAATTCACAGGTCACTTTCATTTTCAAGGATATTTAGAATTTATTCCGTTAAATTGATTACATGCGAATAAAAGTTGGGATTCGAGGAATCTTTTGTTTCATACTTGTTGAGCTTACTTCCATTTCGAGTGAAAGTGTTGGGTGGAGAGGTTCGAAGGTCGGTTCCACAGGAAGACGATGGCGAATTCCTCTTCTTAACTGTCGATTTGCTTTACTGGAAGATTCATGATGACGCTGTTTTTGAGGCAATCTCCTTCGATTCCGGTAAAAAAAGTGATAAGCTTTCGTCCGTCATATGATGGACATCATCAAAGTGAGGTAACATCGTCACAACAAAATTCAAGCTGAGTCAAGAAAACTTACCAGCGAATCCCTAAAAAGTGTTATATATATTCTACATCTGGCCTCTTTGATCGAGTATAAGGTGATTTGGTTAGTTAGGTCATATGTCAACTTCGATGCATGTGAGTGTGTCTGTCTCTGTATGTGTATGTGCCTGTTTGTGTTCGCTTATGCACGAAACCCGCAATGATGGCTCAAAGTAATTAGGACAGCATAAAGGAACGTTTGTTTTCAGTCATCAAGGCTTGATGACCCTATCTCTCCCTTTCTACATACAAGTTATAACTATTATTCCGATTGCGCAAGATCGGACACACGTCTGGTTTTGTTGATGAGCCTATTTTTTGTTTTGGGTCTCAATGCTAGAAAGAAAAAGTGAGCTAAAAATGCAGAGAATTGATTATCATTAGAGGTTAAGTTATATAGAAAAAAGGATGGTTCATTTAAGTGACTCAGAAACTTACATACTTTTACTAAAGGATCCCACAGAAAGTCTTAAGGCCAGACTTAGGGAATCGCTTAACGTTTGTGTAAGCAGAGGAGAAATTGAGAAGTGGGAAATGAATTCACTTCTTCAGAGGGTTGCTAGAGCACCTTCGGCTTACGGCTTTTTAAAAATACACAAGGAAGTGGTTCCTTTAAGATGGATTGTTAATAACAAGGGAACTGTGATGCATAGGATCTCACGTTTCTTATGTAGACAACTAAGGAAATTGGCTGAGTATTGTAAATATTCATTCAAGAATTTATATGCATTTGCTAGATTAATAGATCAACAGAGTATTAAAGAAGAGGATCTTTTGGTTAGTTCTGATGTTGTGTCAATGTATACTAACATCCTAGTCCAGTAAGCTATTGAAGCACTTACACTCATCCTAGAGGAGCACCCAGAAGTTATTAAGGAAAAATAAGGAGATTTTTTCTCATGTTTTGTCTTTACCCTCGTGCGTTCTCTCTAAAAGGATAGGTGAGCAAGTAAGGTGGGGAATAAAAACTGTGTTT